AGTAAATCATAACACATCTGATTTCTTGTTATCTTAACTGACCTTTATTCTTTTTTTCTTCCTTCTATTCTTATTTTCTTCTTTTCCTATCAAGTCTTATGGTAAGTTGAACCTTGTCTTAGCCACTTTGATCTTTCCCAGGCCCCCAATAGCTTCACCCACACAACAAATACTCTGGCTGACTATCAGGATAAAAAGAGAGAGGGAAAATGGCATTTTGTAACAGCTATTTTTCATTGTAGCTATAAATATAACTTTATCATGCCGGTGAAGACCTGAGCACAAATTGCCACTGAATGCTCAATTTTTGCATAATATCCTTCCTTCCTCTATATTTTAAATGTTTAGCTTCTTCATTTATCACTTTCTTAGTTATGTAAGAAACTGAGAGGGGGATCTTTTCTTATTTATTTGTTTGGGAGAGAGAATCTAGCTATATATCTCAGAAAAGCCTTGAGCTTGTGATCTTTCTATCCTATCTCTGCTTCCAGAGTTCTGGGATTACAATCATGGGCCACCTTCAAATTATAATTCAATTTTTCAATTTCCTTCTTCCTTTATCTGCAGCCATGTTTGTATTCACAGTCAACTAAATGTCTCAAAGAAATGATCATTGCTAGCCAACTGAACAGAAAACAAAAATTTGCCTTGTATACATTTGATAGATCAGTGTCTAGAATGTACATGAAAATAAAAAAAAATTTAAACACCAAAAAGAAATTAAACCCAATTAAAAGTAGATAGACTAAAGAACTGAGCAGAGTTCTCAAAGGAAATGCAAATTGCTAAGAAGCATTTCAAAAAATATTTGTCTTGCGGGTCTGGATTACTGCACCCTAGATGATTTTTCTTCTAGCTTCATTTATTTACCTAAAAATTTCATGACTTATTTTTTCTTAAAAGCTGAATACTATTCCATTGTGTAAGTGTACAAAATTTTCACTATCTATTCATTTGTTGATGGACATATATGGTGTTTTCAATTCCTGGCTATTTTAAGTAGAGTAGTAACAAACACGGATGCACAAATATCTCTATAATAGGCTGTAGAATCTTTTGAGTATGTGTACATGAGTGAATCTTGAGGAAGATTGATGCCCAGCCTCTTGAGGAACCACCACACTAATTTACAAAGTGGTTGCACAAATAAATATACATTTCTACTAGGAAGTAATAAATGTTCCCCTCTTCTTGAATCCTTATCAGCATGTACTCTCATTAGTGTTATTGATCTTGGCCATTGTGACTGGGGTAAGATGGAATCTCAAAGTAGTTTTAATTTGAATTTTCTTGATGGCTATGGATGGTGAATATTTATTCAAGTGTTTTTGAGACAGTTATGTTTCATCTTTTGTGAAGTCTTTGTATAGTTATGTACCTGAATTTAAATTTTGTTTTCTTGATTGTTTGGGTTTTAGTTTTTTGTATACTGTAGATAATAACCCACTGTCTGATGTATAATTGGTAAGTGAGAGGCACATAATTTGTGGGTTGAGAGATACTAATTTAGAGGGCAGATTGATACTGTATCGATTTAGCAAAAATGGTAATAGGTAGATTCAACATGGAGACTTCAGCTCCCCAAACAGATTTATAGTATTTAGCATGTGTCTTCAACTGTGGAGAAGACCTTAAATACAATTAAAAGTGGTGCATTTCCTCCATAACATCTGTGCCACTATCACACACACACTGGCATATCTTTTCACACCTGTTATTTTTGTGATGATCCCCCCACAGCAGTTTACATAGTACATTCTAACACCATGAAACCCAACCATTCAAGGAAGCTTCCCAATCAGCATCAACTTGATTTTTCTATGTTGTGTGACAAAAGTATATAGTTCCTTCAATAATAAAGCCTTACCACCAAGTTCTGGTTGTCAGCAAAGTGTAATGTGATAGCTTTCAGGGATTTATGGGTGACCTTTGACCAACAACCCGAGGGGAGGTGTTCCACACTTGGCACTGGCCTTTTAGCTTGGCAACCTTTGGCTTTTAGAAAGAGCATAATCCCATTTAGGGTGACTCCAACTAAACATATACATAAATATTGTCTCTGTGTGTAAGTATGTACATATAAATATAGAATTTATAGCTTTTTCAAACATTCTATTTTTTTTTAAGTCAGGGCCTCACTATGTATTGCTGGCTGGTGTAAAACTAACTATGTAGACCAGTTTAGCTGTAAATTCATAAAGAGAAACAGCCTATCTCTGCCTCTCAAGTGCTGAATTAAATGCATGTACCACCATGCCTGGCTCTTCAAACATTTTAATGTTAGTTATCCCATCTACAACCCTCTCCTCTGCCCTATTCTCCCATCCATTTCTGCACCTAAACTTCCATTACCCTTATCTCCCACTTCACATAACCAGTGTTCTACTATTCCATTCTCTTCAGATATTTATTTTTCCTCCCCATGGTCTTTTTCCTAGTTTCCTAGATTCCACAAGTACTCCAAGGTAGGCATACAAATATAAAAACTTGATGGTAATCCACAGAACACTCCCACTTTAAGTGGGTGGGTGATGTGAGATTCCCCTCTGTATGCTGTGAATACCATTGTTGAATAAATAAATAAACTGCCTTGGCCTGTTGATAGGGCAAAACTTAGGTAGGTGGGGAACAATAAACTGAATGCTAGGAGAAAGGAAGCAGAGTCAGAGAGAAGCCATGTAGCCCCACCGGAGCCATACAGAACTTTAGCTGGTAAGCCACAGCCACATGTTGATACACAGATAGATTAATAAAAATGGGTTAAATTAAGATGTAAGAGTTAGCCAATTAGAAGCTAGGGCTAATGGACCAGGCAGTGATTTAATTAATCAATTTCTGTGTGATTATTTCGGGGCTGAGCAGCCAGGAACCAACAAGTGGCCTCCTTGCAACAGGTAGGATGAAGATAAGAAACTAAGAAAGGTATTTAGAGATAAACAATGAACTAGAAAAAAATGCATAAATAAAATAATGTTTGGAAGTCAGAAAGAAGGGAGAGTGATGAAAGAAGGGAAAGTGATCAGCTGTAATAAATGTTGCCGATAGGTTAAGTAAAATGAGGGCATAAAATTAGCTTTAGCAACATGAAGTTGAGGATAAGAAATAAAATGTTATTTTAGAACAGAATCAGAAACAGTTACTATACTAAATATTTGAAATATTTTTTGTACTTAATTCTCACAGTGGTCTTGAGTAGCATAGAAAATTCTTGGTTTCATATTGTCATTATGGAGTAAAATCTTTTTGTAAAAATTCATTTATTAATTAATCTAATTGACACATATATCCCTGTATTTATCACATAAAACATGACATTTTCAAGTATATATCCAGTATGACATGGTTAAATCTAGTTAATTATCATATGCATGACCTCACTTTTTTGATGAAAGCATAATAGCCACTGTCTTAATACTTTTCAAGATGATAATATATAATCATTAAATACATTCATCATGCTGTGAAAGCAACGTTTCTTATTTAATTATAATTCTATATTTTGACCAAGAACTACTCAATATAATCCACATTTTAAAATCTCATTCACCAGAAGCTTTACTAGAAATGTCTGTGTTACTTGAAGAATATATTACTGGCATCAATTTCCCTTACCATTCCACTTTACTTAACCCCATAGCACTTCTCAAAATTACTAATTTTGCTTATATTTTTCTACTTCTATCTTCTATATTGTAAGTTAATTGAGCATACTGGTCATTTTTTTATTCAATTGTATATCACAAATATTAGAAATAATGTTTAGGACATAGTCCATATGTTTTGAAGGAAGGAAATATTATTATAAAATAAATAATTCATTTGTAATTCATTGCTAGGTTAAAGAATAATATATTCTCACCAAAGTCTTTCTAGGAAAAACACATGCAGATGGATATGATAAATGGAAACTCTTCTTTGACCTTCTTAAATGTGTGACATTTAATATTACATATTAAATGCCACATCCTATAGGTAGATTAATACTGATTTGAAACTGGCTAATGTATTTTCTTAAAGAATCATAGATCATCAGTGCTATAAAAGATTATAATAACCATCTAATAAGTTCCTTCATGTCAACCATACGGTAATATTTAATGTGTTGGAACAACACAAAAGGCCACAAGTATCTTAGTTACTAACTACCTTTATTGGATAATAGGGTAATCTAATGCCAGCCCTTTAGAAGACAATGAAGAAATCCCTAAAGACACTACCCCAGCAAACTCCTTCTTTAGTCACTCTTAGGGAGGCATAACAAACCCCAACCTCCCGTCTTCACAAACCTGTAGACATATTTATGTGGGTGTATGTGGTGCCAGTTTTCAGTCTATGCACCAGAGGGCCATGTTCATGTTATTTGGCTGCATCCCAAGACATAAAAATGCATGTAGTTCATAAATGAGTCATTTCTTTCTAAAAATAAATAAATAAATAGAAAAGAGAAACTTAGGAGTCCTGGGAAAGATGGGGGCAGGCTTATTTTTCTGGCAGTCTAGTTTCTTCACATGTTTCTTCTTCCATTTAATGTGGTACAGCAAATCAGTCTGATAACTTGTATTAAATAAGTGAGTGGGGAGGGATGTGCACAGCCTGCCCTTAAAGAACTGGCAGTTTAGATGGAGTAGAACTCTTTTACAGAAGCAATAGAGTAGCCAAAGCAGAGCACAGGTAGGAACAGGGAGCTAAATGTATACAGTTTTGACAGCATTCTTAAGATAGCTTTCTTATCTCCCTGTTCTCAAGTGCTAACTCCCTCATCTTCATTAGCTGTTGGTTAGAAAATCCTAAAACACTACAGCTTTAATATGATCACTTAATGTGTTCAAACCTGTAGGTTTAGAACACTTGCACTAATGGGGAAATGGAATTACGTAATTTCTTAAGAAGGAACTTAAGGAGAAATTTCATGGTTGAGCTATAATGAAATGTCTGATTCACCAATATAAAGCACGTTGTATTCCCCTGTTGTGTGAGATATTTATTTTATCTCTACCTAGATGTCAAAATTTCAGAGGCCAGTGGGGAGACTATTGGTACATGGGGGAGAAATGTGAACAACTCTGGAACACTTTGGACCTGATTTTAGTAGCAACATTGCCTGGAATAACACTGGCTTTAATTGTTGGTGTGGTAATCCAGATTATCCACTACTGTAAAGGAAAGCCAAAGAAGAATGAAGATCATCACAGGTAAAAGACTTCTAAATACTTTAGAGAAAAGTAGATAGTTTCTCATGTGATCAGCAAATGAATCAAGATATAATGAATGCCGTTTATCATGCATGCAATGTGTATATTTTCTTTCCTATTTATCAATATTACAGATCAAAGTCAAATTAACATTGCCAAATACACATATTTAATTTAGGATTTTTGTAGAGAAAAATTTAAAAGCCCTTCTCTAAATAAAAACAAAATGCAATTGGCAAAGTGTCCGATTTCAGGGTTTCTTTCCACTAAGGCAGTGTTTGTGTGCCCCATGCATTCTTCCCTGGTGATGTGGGAACAAACGATCAGACACTGCTGTGCTAGTCCATCCAACTCCCTTATGCCAGTAACAACATCCAAGACACCAAAAGATGAATCTAATAGCCTTGACTTCGATGAGACTCTGTCTTATTTAACTAATTTTACCTCCTTGGGCTTTAATTTCCTCATCTACAAAATAGTGATGTTTATAATCAGACCTACTCACTTCACAGATGGTGAGGATAAGACTAAAAGCAGCAATCAGGTATTGTCTGTTTATTATGCATGGCAAGATGAGTTACAAATGTTTCACGCCTATGAATTTATTTTAGTCCTATTAACAACCCTATAAAATACTGATGAGACTACCAAGGCATAGAAAGATCAAATAACTTGGCCAAGTTTGTGGTCCAGAGTCTGGTTATTGGACATAATTCCATGCTGTGCTCATGAAATCTGATTAACTAAAACAGTGTTAAAGGTGGTATGCCTTTATGCATCACCTTCATTTCTTTACATAAAACAAGCTCTATCCTTTTCTAGTTTTCAACTTCTGAACTAGAACTATGAAGTTGAAATATCAATGTATAATCTTATCAGTTTTCTATCAATTAAAATTCCATCTACTTTACTTTGTCATTCCTCTGTGGCATGATAATGTTATCTTCCAAGCATGATGGGGATTCTTTAAATATTATTTTTTAATGAGAACTAACTGGTACTGTTTGCCTCATATTGATAAGGACTGGTTTTCAATTTGTAATAAAATCTGTGATTTGAACTGTCATAGGTATTTGTCTGTTGAAAGAGTAATATTAAATTCACCAATTATTTTATCATTTTAAATTTTGAATCTTTGCTCCATTATTTCATATTTTAGGTGCTATATGGTGCATGTGTGAGTGTGTTCACATGTTTATCAACATTAGTGTTGCAAATTCAACTTAATATGAAGAATTTTATATTTTCAGTTGATATAATTTTTAAACCCTTTAAGACACTAAAGAATCACCATAAGTAATATTTATGTAGGTCACTTTAAAAATAGTCTCTGTAATTTTCCTATCCCAATGTTCTGTTAGATTTATCATCTTTATTTGTTGTGAGGAGCTGCGGGCCGTTTTCCATGGCCCAGCTTCCGCATGGCTAGCTTTACCCAAAATAATTACATGAAAACTGTATTCTTTTAAACACTGCTTGGCCCATTAGCTCTAGCCTCTTACTGGCTAACTCTCACATCTTTATTAACCCATTTCTATTAATGAGTGTAGCACCACGAGGTGGTGGCTTACCAGGAGGAATCTTAACCTGCATCCATCTTGGAGAGGAAAAATATAGCATCTGCCTCACTTCCCTTCTTCCCAGCATTCTGTTCTGTCTACTCCGCCTACCTAATTTTCTGTCCTATCAAAGTCCAAGCAGTTTCTTTATTAATTAACCAATGAAAGCAACAGATAGACAAATGACCATGACCCTGCTCCATCATTATGTTCTGTTAGATTTATCATCTTTGTGTGTATGTGTGTCTGTTTATGCAATGTGAGAGTAGATGCCCATAGACACTAGAAGAAGGCATCTTGATACCCTGGAGCTAAAGATATAGACAGTTATGAACTGCCAAATGTGAGTGCAGGAAACTGAATTTGGGTCCTTTTGAAGAGCAGTCAGTGATTTTAACCATTGAGCACTTAACTTTAGTCCTCTATTCCAAAGGTCTTGATCAATGGACATATATTCCAATTCTCTTTTTTCTATTGACTCTGTGACTTTGAGTAAACCAAAATTCACTGTTTTTTCATTTACACAAAGAAGAATATATGTCTTACTTCTTCACTAGTCTAAGATTTTAATGAAATAATTAATGATTATTATTGATAATGATAGTTAAACCTGACGCTTTATTCTAACAAGATAGTAGTAGCCTTCATAGGGTTTGAACTCATTTCTGGGCTTTCTGTATACTTAAGCTAATCTATTTTCTTTCACTTAATGTAATTTTAGTTTTGAGTTTCTTTTTATAGCTCTTTTATTATCTGGATTGGGAATTGATTAGATAATTCTGAATCTACTCTATAAAATCATTTAGCTTAGTGGAGAATGTTAAGATTATTGAGCTTAAGTAAGGTTCACACCTCTTACTCACAAATCACTAAGAAGGTAGTCTAGGAGAGTTTCCGTAAATTGCCTTAGCCTAAGTTTCTTATCTGTAAATTGAATTTAAAACACCTAACTAGCAGGCTTTATATAACATTAATGAGACAATGAAATTCTTTGTGTAATATACTTCTTTCTAAAATTTACTTTCAATTGCATAATAAGTAATATAGATTAATGGTTGGATAGGAAAATGATATATAAATATGTATATATTAATATATGCAATAAAATGGTAGTGGTTGAATCAATGTGGGAGATGTATGGATATTTGCTGAAATTCCTTTTGACAGCTCTATGCTTGAAAGTTTTTACAATGAAATGTTGTATAAAATCAGATAAAGTAAGGCACGTTAATCATGAATGAGATTTGATAGATTGTAGCTTTTATCAATTCTTTTTCTTGAGTACGGTCATAAAATGTGAATATTCATTGTGTATTATAAAAACATTTATTAAGACATTTGTATAACCAGTCATGCATAATTGAATTGTGTTTTTGTTTGTATGTGCCAGAGAAGAGAGAAACATGCCAGAACTTCGACCTCGCCATAATTCTGCATATGGTTTTGATACTGACAGGAATCTTCCTCAGTCTAATCAAGGCGAGGTAAACACTGAATCTCATTGGTCAAATAACCTAAGTTTTCAGAAGACATCAAAGACAGAAATGCCATAGAGAACAAAAGTAGAGCCTATAAATGTTAAAAGTAAATGTCATTAAAAGATATAATTTCAAAATTATGATATGTTTGTTGCCACCTAGGCCTGTAGCAGTGACACTGGCAATGCTCTCTACCTCTTCTTGCCATTATTTTCTTACAGGTAAAATCAAGATAAAACAGATAACAAAGACAGGCTTGGAGAAAACTAAAACACAAAACAAAAAGTAAACAAAAGTTGCCAGAGGAGGGCAAGGAAGATATGTGTAAAAAGAAATTTACTCGAGATACTAAATCTTATATCTAGCAATATATTTCCAATTGGACCGATCATTTAAAAGAAGTCATGTGGAGATCTTGGAGACTCAATGTATTTTAGGAGCAGCTCTGAATAAGAAAATAAAAGGACCTTGTTGTCACATTAGACCACAAGTATAAGAGGCATCAGAAATGTTGTTGTTCAAACAAACCATAAAGTGCCACTGTTGTGGTTTGAAAGAAAATGCCCCCCAAAGGAGTGGCGCTATTGAGAGGTGTGACTTTGTCAGAGTAGGCATGGTCTTATTGAAGAAAGTGCCTCACTGTGGGGCAGGCTTTGAGGTATCTTTTCTCAAGCTTGACTCACTGTGACAGTCAACTTGCTGCTGCCTTCTGGTCAAAATATAGTCAGCACCATCATGATAATATTGGACTGAACCTCTGAAACTGTAAGCCATCACCTCAATTACATGTTTTCTTTGTAAGAGTTGCTGTGGTCATGGTGTCTCTTCACAGCAGTTTTAAAAAAAAAACTCCTAAGAGAGCCACAAAATCTTTTTGTTGTTGTTTTTTGTCTTTTAAAATGCAAGTAGCAAATATTAAAAGTAAGAACTGTACTGAAAATAAATAACCTGAAACTCAGTATACTTCTATAGATGTGTCTAAATAGGTACCATCTTAATATCAAGGCCAGTTAAACATCAAAATATTAAAGGTTAATGTAAACATATTGTATGAAAGATTTGTGGCAAGTTATTTTCTACCTAAAATCAAATAAATTATCTATTTTACCTTTAAAATAGCAGCATTAAAGATTTGTTCCAAACCATCTTTCAAAAAATATTAAACTACTCTGGATGAATATCCTAATGTAAATATTGTTCATATATCCAAAATGGTATTCCCTAAAACTACCAAATGGGTTGTAGCTGACTGTTTTTCTCTTGAAGTGAGCATTTGTTTTATAGGAAGAAACTATGAATTAGAAAATCTAGCATACAGAATGCACTTTTCCATTTCTACCAGTTCATTTATTCTTTTTTTTCAAAGTTCAGTGAGTTTAATATATACAATCTTGTGGTTGCTACTACAACATAATAAACAAATCCATCGCACTGAAACGTTCTCCCAAAGTCCTTTGTAGTTGACCCACCGTCCTCAAAGCAGATAAGCACTGCTTTGATTTCTCTTGTTGTCGATTAGATTGGCATTTTTGTAACTTTTTTATTGAAAAAAAAAGTTTCCGCCTCCTCCCAGCTTCCCATTTCCCTCCCCCTCCTCCCGCCCTTCTCCCCCACTCCCACTCTTCTCCCCCTCCCTCTCCAGTCCAAAGAGCAGTCAGGGTTCCCTGCCCTGTGGAAAGTCCAAGGTCCTCCCCGCTCCATCCAGGTCTAGGAAGATAAACATCCAAACTGGCTAGGCTCCCACCAAGCCAGAACATGAAGTAGGATCAAAACCCCGTGCCATTGTCCTTGGCTTCTCATCAGCCCTCATTGTTCGCCATGTTCAGAGAGTCCGGTTTTATCCCATGCTTTTTCAGTCACAGTCCAGCTGGCCTTGGTGAGCTCCCAATAGATCAGCCCCACTGTCTCAGTGGGTGGGTGCACCCCTCGTGGTCCTGACTTCTTTGCTCATGTTCTCCCTCCTTCTGCTCCTCCTTGGGACCTTGGGAGCTCAGTCCAGTGCTCCAGTGTGGGTCTCTGTCTCTATCTCCATCCATCACCAGATGAAGGTTCTATGGTGATATGCAAGATATTCGTCAGTATTGCTATAGGATAGGGTCATTTCAGGTTCCCTATCCTCAGCTTCCCAAGGGACTAACTGGGGACATCGCCTTGGGCTCCTGGGAGCCACTCTAGGTTCAAGTCTCTTGCCAACACTAAGGTGGCTCCCTTAACTAAGATATGTGCTTCCCTGCTCCCCTATCCAACCTTCCTTTATCCCAATCTTCCTGTTTCCCCAAGTTCCCCCAATCCTCCCCTTCTCACTTTTCTCTCCCCGTCCCCCCTTATCCCCAACCCACCCCACCCCCAAGATCCCAATTTTGTCCCCGGCAATTTTATCTACTTCCCTTAGCCAAGAGGATAACTATATGTTTTTTCTTGGGTTCACCTTCTTCTTTAGCTTCTTTAGGTTCACCAGGTATACACTCCGTGACCTTTATTTATGGCTAGAAGCCAATTATGAGTGAATACATCCCATGTTCATCTTTTTGGGTCTGGGTTACCTCGCTCAGGATAGTGTTTTCTATTTCCATCCATTTGCATGCAAAATTCGAGAAGTCATTGTTTTTTACCGCAGCATAATACTCTAATGTGTATATATTCCACACTTTCTTCATCCATTCTTCCATTGAAGGGCATCTAGGTTGTTTCCAGGTTCTGGCTATTACAAATAATGCTGCTATGAACATAGTTGAACAAATGCTTTTGTCATATGATAGGGCATCTCTTGGGTATATTCCCAAGAGTGGTATTGCTGGGTCCAGGGGTAGGTTGATCCCGAATTTCCTGAGAAATCGCCACACTGATTTCCAAAATGGTTGCACAAGTTTGCATTTCCACCAGCAATGGATGAGGGTACCTCTTCCTCCACAACCTCTCCAGCAAAGGCTATCATTGGTGTTTTTGATTTTAGCCATTCTGACAGGTGTAAGATGATATCTCAAAGTTGTTTTGATTTGCATTTCCCTGATCACTAAGGAGGTTGAGCATAACCTTAAGTGTCTTTACACCCACAGTTATGTCTGTCACCTCTCTACTTTCCAAATCTCTGTGTTTTCATTTCCTTCCTCCTGTCTCATCTTTTAGAAAATGCCGTGTATACTGAGTATGGGTAAAACTTATGAGAAAGAGCCCATGAAATGTTTATCAGCTAGGCTGTATTCATTACATTCTCTTCTCCCTTTCCTTTTCTCGATTTTTTCTGTAGACAAATGCTTGCTATTATTATTATTATTATTATGTCTATCTAAATATTTATATTCTTAAGTGCTGTAAATATTTCCTTAACTGGAGAAGCCATAAATGATCCATCATGTTCCAATCTAGCACATTCATCTCTTAAAAATTGTTTTCCAGTCTGAAGACTTTGTAAAATAGAAACTGACTACATCAATTAGTTACTTAATAAAGAACTGGAAAACTTTGATAGACCTATGCTGTTTAGAAAAATTTCTAGATGCACTACACTCTAAATGTGTGTTTAAAATGGCACTTTTGATAAATTCTGGCTTTTCAGATGCTAAATGTCAAATTGTTTCCACTCAATTAAGTGTGGTTTTCTTCATTCAGCTAGAGAACACATAAACAAACAAAAGAGTGTGAGTTAATCCTTGAATTGTACATGTTAAGCTTTTTGTAATTGACTTAACAATTAGATTTTAAAAAGTAGTGGTAAGATTTTGTACTTGTTAGCTCTTCTTCACCTAACCTCACCCACACCTTTGCATTTAGCACAAAATAGGTTTCAAAGTTCTTTTAATCGCAGCATGAGCATATACTTAGAAAAAGCAGTATATTCTGAACCTTTGACAGCAAAAGTGTGTATGCTGTATAATTTAGTCCTACAGAAATTCACCACTGAGTTTGCTGGTTATTTTTTACTTTTCTTTTGATCATAAATAATTAAAAAAATAATTTGCCTTTTAAAATAAGCTTACTTCCTGGAGTCTTTGCTACAGAATAAACACAGTTGAATCATTTTCATATATGAAGGTGCACAGAAGCTATATTGGGGCATTTCACACTTATTAGAGTTTCAAAAATAAATATATTTTGATGATGATAGAACAAATACTGATATAACTGGAAAATTAAACCACAAAATAGTAGCAGCACTTCAGGAGAAATGTCCTCCCCCAAAAGAGAATACTTTAACAATTAGATTTTCCAAATTTGGTAGTGATATTCACAAAACATATTCAGTTGCCAATTTTGTTATATTTATAAATCAAATAAATTCAAAATAAGATAATATATAAAACATATAATGAACATACTCTCTATAATATATGCCCCCCCCGCGCGTGCATGCACATACACACATATACACACACACATATATATGGCACTATTATTATGACTTACTTTCCCCTTAGCAGTTATTATCATTTTTCAGAAAGTTAAGTAAACCCCCTCCATTATAAACAGTTCTATAAAAATTTTAATGAATTCATGATCACTACTGCATTTTTAATGTGCAACATCTCTGCATATATTTGACATCAAGTAGGTTATTAGCTATCATTTTATTGATATATAGGTAACTAAAACTTTATCTTCTGTCATTTACCTAATTAATTTCTAAAGAAAATATATTATGTAAATCAGCAAGGCAAAATGGTCCCTTTGCCATGATAGCTTCTTAATCTTTCTCCCTTTCTTGAGACAGGGTCTCACTGTGTAGTCTTGAATGGCCTCAAGTTTATGGCAATCCTCCTGTCTCTGACTCCCAAATGTTGGAATAAAGAGTAGTGCTTCAATATTTTACTCTAAAAAGGCATTCTAGAAATGTTAAAGAACCTCATTTATTGAAAAGAGAATATTATTCTTTAAATCTTTCCTCTTGTTAGGTCAATAGGGAAGCTGGAAAAATCTTAGTGAAATTGTCTAAAACTTCAAAACCAACCTTGTGCTCTTGTGAAAAGCAAACTGTCTTACAGTCTTAAGCTTATATCCATAGCAGAAAACAACAATTAGCCAAATTGTGTATTATCC